ACAGCTCGACCCCATAGCCCGGCCCCATAGCTCGACCCCATAGCCGGACCCTATAACCCGACCCCACAGCCCGACCCCATACCCTGACCCTATAGCCTGACCCTATAGCCCGACCCTATAGCCCGACCCTATACCCGACCCTACAGCCCGACCCCGCCTCGGGAACAGTGGAAAGTTTCTGGTGGAGCTGGCTTGGGGCGAGGAGGGGCGGCTGGGCTGGGGTTTGTGCGCTCATTGGTTTATTTATTTGTTTGTTTGTTTGTTTTTCTCTTCCTCGGTGAAAAGGAGCCTTTTTCAGCAGCTCCCCGATAGACCCGAGCCCGCCCCCGTGCCAGGCCGAGAGCCGGGCACTGCTGGTGGCACCTGGTGGCACCTGGGGGCACCTGGTGGCACTTGGGGGCAGAGGCGACACTGCCCGCAGGGGATGGAGAAGAAGGGAAGGACGCGACCACATCCGTGTGGTGCCTCATTTTTGGAGAGAAAAGACAACCCTGGGCTTCGGGGAGGCCTCAGAGCCCGGAGCCAGCCCTGGATGCCAGCCTGGAATTCCACGATCGGCCGGGATCACGGATGCCCCGCTACGAAACCGAGCCCCGCGTTTCCCCCGGTGCCCTCTCGCTGCTCAGGTGCTTCCAAAAAAAATCTCCTTTTCTCCCGGCCCCGCTCGGCTCCGGAATGGGAGGGAAAACTGGCAGAAATTCCTGCCCTGAGCTCCAGCTCCGTGATTCCCAGCGCCCCTCCTGACGCCCTCATGGATCCGTTTGTGCTTTGGCCACTTCAACCCGGTCTGGGAATGATGGGGGGATTTCTTTCCACTCTTGGGGCATCCCTTGGGATGGGCAGAATCTCACACTGGAGGGACGGGAAGTGGCGGGGAGGACGCGGGGCTTTTTTTTTAAATTCCCTTCCCGGTGCTTGGCTCCATGTCCCGCTCCCTCCGGGAAAGCGCTAAGGAGCTTCCCATGCCAGGCAGGGGACACCGGGGACCTCGGCCGGCCCTGACCCCGCCTTTTTCACCGTCCCCAAAAAGTGGGGTCTGCATCCCCACCCCCGTGTCCGTCTCTCCAAATTCTGGGAATTCACAGCTGGAAAGGGAAGGACACCTTCCCTGCTCTGAAAGAAGCACTGGGAAATTTGCTCGGAAGAGCCAAACGAAAATTCGCTTTTTTCTCCGCCGTTTCCCAATTCTCCGTTTGGAAAAGGCTCCTAAACTTCCAGAGACACGGCCAAAAATATCCTTTCTGCTGAGATGCTTTTTCATTCCTGGGGAGAAAAAGTTTAGGAATCGCGGAGTCATCCTGCAGTTTCTTTACCGAGACGGCAACAAATGCAAACTCCAGAGTCTGTCCCTGTGCCGAAGGGTTTGCCCTTATTTCGATTCACTAATTACAAATTTCGAAATATGAGACTGCAAACCTACAAAGAGAGTCACACACAGGGGTGTAAAAACTGCCCTGAGCTCTTCCATTCCGAAAGACGACGCAGATTTATTCCTGGAGCTCTCACGAAACGCTTCAAGAACGAGCCCTGCCCCACCCGTGCGAGACAATTCGCTCCTGCCCTTTCACAGCATCCCGAAATCTGCACGACTTTTGAGGTTCTTTCCTAGCCCGGAATAAAAAAAAAAAAAAAAAAAAAAAAAAAAAAAAAAAAAAAAAAAGTCGCTTGCTCAAATTCGCTCCTTTTGGAATTTTAAATTGGAGTCGCAATGGCGAGCGCGCATCAAACGTAAACACGTTCAGTGGATCAGCCTGGCATTCGTCTGAGCTTATTTTAAAGCCGGTGATTTTATCATTTAATCCGCCAGCAGATCGCTTTAAAGGTGAAAACGAAACGAATAAAACCTTACATTCGAATAAAGGACTAACGCCCATTAACTTCTCCTCCGGAGAGATTTCCAAAGGCGCGTTCCTGTAAATGTATGGATACCATAGGCTCGGCCGGGCTGCTCCTGCCCGGCCAGGAAATAAAGCACAAATTCGCTCCCTGGCCTGGAGCGAGGCCAAAATCACTGATACACAGCGAGCTTTTCCTGCACCGCTCCTTCGGGATGGGGCTTTGCTGGGATGGGAAGCGATCCCTGTCTGGGGATGCTGCCGGGTGTCCCACATGGCTTTGCCACCGGACGGGTGGTTTGGAAGGGAACATTTTGAGATGTCCCCTCGCAGCAGGAATTACCTGGCCCCGAGAGCGAATTCCCTGTTGGCGGGGAGCTGCAGCATCCTCCCCGCAAGTGCTGGGGGTGGCCTGGCCCTGAGGGAGGCTCTTTTTCCGTGCTGGAGGGTCAGGGATCATCCAGATCCAGTGACCTGGGGGGGATTTCGGCAGCGGAAAGTCCGGGAAGCCGGGGCCGGGCTCCTGCGGGACGGTGACTCGCCAGTGCCAGGCTCAACCTTCGCTTTTCTGGCACCCTGCCGCCGGCAAACATGGGCGACATGAGCCTTTCTCCTGATTTTCCTGGTGTTCGGACCGGTGTCTGTGCCCCCCGGGCCCGGGCAGGACCGGGATGCCTGGCACGGCAAAGCAGCGGCCCCTGTGCCCACCGGACCCCTCCGGGCACCGGGAGGCAGCTCCGGCTCCGGCCCCGGCCCGGAGTCAGAGGGGGTTTTTTACAAACACCCCAAAATTCCTGCTGCTTTTGCTGTTGAAAAACTGGAGGATTTTCGTACAAACGCGTCCCGCTCCCTGCGGCAAACACGGACAAAATTCCCCTCCGCCCCCTCCGCCTTTTGACACCTCTGGCTGTTTTTGGAAGTACCTCAGCACTCCACTTTGTACCATTTGTACATTTTCCAGTTTCCAGGGGGGAAGCGGGGTGAGTGAAACTGTAATAAGATCTAGAAATATTTGGGAACAACTCCCACCTTTGCTCTCGGCATACAGAAGTTCGTCCGCACACACATTTGAAAGCCCGGTAGCTTTTCAGCTTGGGATTCTGCTAAAAGAATTACTTAGCCGTGTATTACGTTCAGTATCGGATTGCCCTGTAAGTTGGGAGTGTTTCCTTTGTGTCTGCGGGGCTGCTCCCCCCAGCCTTCACAAGGAACATGGGGACAAGGACAAACCCGGGGGGTTCGCCGCCAATCCTGGTTTTTGGGTTTTTCCCCAGCGCGGTTGTGCCTCCCTCGGTCTGGAGAGCCTCGGAGAAATTCCCGAGGGGCGGCCCCGGAGTTCCATCGAGCTTTGTGCCCCTCGTTGAGGCGAGGTCGGAGGCTCTGCTGTCACCCCGTGAGGAGGGGGCGAGGGCAGCGCTGGCACCGAGCCCCGAGCCCCGTCTGCAGCGGGGGGCGAGGGATCTCAGCCCCGACGGCACCGCTGGATCCCGGAGCCAGCGGGGAACAGCCGGGACCGGCCAGGGGAACCTCTGAGAAGGGGAAAACCTCCAGGTCAGAGGCGCTTTGGGAAGGAGCAGGGCTGGGCAGGGATGTGCGGGACCGCCCGCTCCCCTCTGCGGGCTCAGCGTCGGGAACGCGGCCGAGGGTTGGGCGGTGGGGAAGGACGGGCGTAAAGAGCAAGGTTTTTATTTTATAAAAATAAAATTTTTAAAAAAGATTAAAAAGTTGAAGTCCCAGGAAAAAAAAAAAATTAAAAGTGGGGAAAAAATACTCTGACAAATCTGCCCCCCAGGACACCCGCACGAACCCGGCTCTCCCCGCCGAGCCCAACCCACCAGATCGTGTTAAGGGGCCCCAGAGCGGGCGTCCTACAGACAGCGAGGTCACGGGCAGACCCACGGCACTGACCCCCGCCCTTCCTCTCTCCCTCCTTCCCTCTCTCCCTCCCTCCCTCCCCTCCGGCCGGGAGAGACCGGAGCGACCCCGCCGCTCGTCCCCGCCCCGACCCCGCCGCCCATCCCCGCACCGCGGGGCCACCGGGAACAGCCCCAGGAAAACCCTAAAAAAAAGCACTTTTGTTTTAGTAAGACCTTTAATGTCACTATTAGTGGTTAGTACAATAGGGGCTGGCTTTCCAAAAGGGATTACTCACGCCTCGCGCTTTATTTATTTGTTTAGTTCATTAACGAACCTTTTCCGAGAGCGTGTGACAATCAGATGAAATAGCTGCGATCCGCCTTGATTTTCTTAAAATATACATTCGTGGCTAGGTTTAAATGGGACCGAAGACTGTGAATATTCCTAGTAATTTCTATTGTCTGCCTCTCGGAATAAGGAAGGTCTGAGATCTACCGCTCCGTCACTTTATTCGGATTTATATTGCGCACATTAGATTTTGGGTCACATATTAATTAGCTCGCTCCCATCCGGTTTAAACAACCATAAACGCCAAATTTTATAATCGGTTTTGGACACTGAGTCGGGGATGGGGGAGGGAGAGGGTGACGATTTCACCAGTCTGCCATAACCGGGGGGCAGAGAATCGCGGTTTTTCAACGCGGTTCATTCTCGCCTCTCTTTCTTTCATTAACTCCTTTCCAAAATAAAAATTTAAAAAATAAAAAATTCTGACAGCGGAGACAGAAGACGACTCGTGGTATATTTTTGTTCAACAGTAACAAAGCCGTGCCAACAACAACAACAACAAAAAAACCAACCCGAAAACACGAGAGAGGACGGTGTTAGAGAGCGGGGGAGGCTGGAGGCTGCTGTGTCCTGACTTTAACTCCTGAATCTCAAGGTCGCAGCGATACCGCAGGGCACAGTCTGGGATTTCGGAGCACGAACTTGTCCCTTGCAGGGTTTGCGCTGCGAGGGCGAAAGGAGCTGGGATAGAAATCCCCTTTCACTCTCGCTTCTTGGAGTCTGAGCGGGTTCGGTCCATCTTCGGGAAAAGCCTGGCTGGGCTGAGCAGGAGACCTGTCCCAAGCCCTGCCGGGATCAGTCACCTCGCTGAGGGTCCCAAACTTTTCCTAACCTACGTGTCAGCTGGCTGTGGAAATGAGGGGATCAGCCATCCACCGAGGGCTTTAAAAACACAGCCTTCTCTCTGTCTGTCTTTCCCTCCAGTCTAGACAGAGCTGGAAGCCAGGTCTGCAGCTGAGCAGCGTTCCTGGCCGTGCTGGCCGCAGTTAGTCCGGGCCTAGCACGCGTCTGGTGGCGTCTCAGAGCTGTCCCCCCCACCCTGGCACCCCTTTAAGGGTGACAGCTGGGGCAGCCCGGGGTGCTGGACCCCGCTGGGTGGGTCTGGTACGTGCCCACCTTTATTTTATGGAGTTTTTCAGGATCTCGGACGGGGGTGCCCCGCACCCATCGGGTCCAACCCTCGCCATGGGGCTCTTTCCCCGGGTCTCGCTGGCCCAGGATTTAAGTTAGGAAATCTTTGCGGGTTGTTTCCCCTCCCAGTAAAGCCAACTGGAAACCAGTAGCCGACTATGAAGAGGGGGGAGGGAGGACGGACAGGAGGACACACGGATGGGGACCCTCCTCCTCTCCTTCCACAATCAAATCCCGAGGGAGAGGGAAGTTTGGGTGATGCGGGACTGTGTGGAAGAACACCCCATAAAAAAAAAAGATCCTTCTGCAGCCGGCTCTGCCCGCAGCCGCCTCTGTCCGGCTCCCCCCTTTCCCCTCCACCCTCCCAGGCACTAAACGCGGGGCTCGGGGACCGGAGGAGGTAATTCCCCCGGCCTGTCATCCCTGGATGCAAAGCTTTGGTTTTAAATGTATTTCCAGCCGTACTTAAGACGATGAAAGATCAGGAATTCGCTGTATGCATTTAAACGTTGCCCTTAATAAGCAGAGTGTGCGGAAGCGCACGCCCGGCCTGTTTAGGGAAGACAGACACATAAAACACACCCGAGCTGTGGGTATAAACCTGCTCTCGGGGTCGTCTTGTTGCTCTTGAGGATCAGCAGGGCTGGAAAAGCCGGGACGCATCCAGCAGCATCTCGAAACGTGCCGCTTTTCCTCCCTCCTAAATCAAAGGCGTTCGGGGGCATATTCGCCAGGCACGGCCGGCGAGTGATTTTCCCCCCCGCCTCGCCCCATCCCTCGAAATTACGACGCTCTATTTCTCATCGGGAAATTTCCCGGTGGGGAATAATGGCTGGAAAATGCGGCGGAGCAGCGCCTCGCTCCCCTCGCTCCGCCGGCTCGGGAGCGCACACTAAAGGAGCCCCTGGCTTCCCATAGCACGGCTGCTCCGTGCTCCCGAAATTTCTGAATTTAATGGCCACGACGGTAAGCTTGGCTCGGGTTGGGAGGGGGGGGGGGGGTGTTTTTTTTCCCGCCCTCCCCCTATCTTATTTTTGGTTGTATTTTTCTTTTTAGCCTTTTAATAAAGCTCCTTAGAAACCGCGCCGGAGAGCAGACCTTCCCCCTGCGGAATTTGCTAATTCCTTCACCCAGCTCCTAAGTCCGGAGAGGCACAAACAAATGACAAAGCAGGGGACTGGGCTTTATTTAGGCACCCGCAGGCACTGCCCAGCGGTTCATCCCGCGGCTCGCAGCAGCTCAGCACGGACAGCCCGGGCGGCCAGCAGCTCCCCACGGCTACCGGCCCGCAGCCTCCCCTCGCCCCGGGCGGCCCCAAAGGCGCTCGGGGGGAAATTGTGAGGCTCCCAGGGGGCTGATTTCCCCGAAACCCTGCGGGAAGGAGATGTTGGTGCCGGGCCTTGCTGCTGGGTGTCCCCGAGAAGAGGCACGGGAGCCACAGCGGGGTCGAGGCCAGGCTGGGCTCGGACCTTCCTTCCCCTCTGTCCGCGGCCCCAGGAGAAGCCGCAGGGCCTCGCTGCCTCGCCCTCATTCCCAGCCTGCTTCCCTAGCTGCAGAAAACTCCAACCCAAGCAAAATAATAATAACAACCACACTGTTTTTTCCCCTCCGAGGCCGTGTCGAGGGGCCATCCCCGGGAACCGGGCGGGATCTCCGGGGCTGCAGACGCGAACCGAGCCTGTTCTCTCATCGGGACGGTCCCCACGAGCCAAGGGAGCTGAAGCAGCAGCCGAGGAGGAGGAGGAGAGGGAGGAAGGGAGGCATGAACACGGCTCTGCCTCCCACCCCGCCGGGTTTGGGGCAGCTCAGCGCTGCCTCCTCTTCCAGGGCAGGCGGGCTCCTTTCCAGCCCGCTTTTCCCTCAATCCCCGCTGGCTGAGACCCGTTCTGAGACCCCTGCAGGCATCCCCTCCCTCCTGCCAGGGCACCGAGGGGGTCGTGCCCAGCCCAGCACCCTCTCCCCGCTCTCCCCCGTCCCTCCCGTGCGGGCTCCCGGAGCCCCGGCGCTGGTTTTACCTTCGGGGAAGACTGCTCGCATTTTCAGGTAGCTGGTGGTGAGGCGGATGATGGACGCCTTGTCCAGCTGCGAGGTGATGGCCGAGGGCAGGGGCAGGAGTTTGGCCAGTTCGTAGAATTCTCCATTTTCTTTTTCCCGTCTAGTCTTTGCCGCGTTCTTGGATTTTTCCTTCATCGCGACTGCTGCAAGGCGGGGATGTCACTGGCATATTAGACCCGATTCTTCCGAATGGCAGGGGGCATGGATTTCGACTGCAGAGTTAGTATTTTCGTTTAAGGAAGGGAATTTTCCCAAATCAAATCAAATAATTAATAATAATAATAATAATAATAATAATAAACGAAGTGGAGGGGGGGGAAGACAAAAAGGGGAGGGAAAAAATAAAGCTAAACCAACCAAACAAAAACAACACCAATAGAAATGGTGCGAGGAGGGGGGAGGCGATCTCGGAGCTACAGCCAGGACAGGAAAGCCGCTCGGAAAAGGCAGTTCTGCTCTGAGCCTGCAGTAGCGAGGGCTTCGAAACCCAGACTGAAAGACCCACGGAATCCTTCGTCCTCTGCGAGCAGCTGGGAATGGGATCTTGATCTTCTCTTCAACGGGGAGCAAACCGCAGGGTTCCCTTCACTGAACGATTTCTTCTACTCAATCCTTCCCCGTCCAAAAATAATAATTAAAAAAAAAAAAAAAAAAAAAAAAAAAAAAATAGAGCGTCCATGCAAGAAATCATTGGGCTAAGCAGGCTGAACCATGTTTGGACATTTTGTCTCTCAGGAAAAAAAAAAAAAAAAAAAAAAAGGGAAACCGAACGACCGCGCTGCTCGTTGAACGAAGTGCAAAAATGAGCTGGTCCCGGAGCCCGAGATGCCGAGGACACGACGAGCTCCCCGCTGAACCAAAGTCAAAGCCGGTGACTGCAGCTGAATGGTTGGAGCGCTCGGAAATTCAGCAGCTCTCCTTCCCCTCCGCCTGTCCCCTCCGGGCGGGCTCCTGCGGCCGAAGGGCGCCGCTGCTCCGGCCGTGCCCCAGGGGCTCCGGCAGTGCCGGGGCGCGGGGGCCGCCGAGCCCCGCGGGGGCTGCGGGGGCTGCGGGGCTGCTCCTGCCGCTGCGGCCGCTGCGCCCGGCTCCCAATGTGCTTCTCATGCGGAGTCAAATTAAAGGATCCGTTTTCCTCGGGACCAGTGCCACTTCAGCGTTGTCTCTTTCCAAACAAGTCCGAGCGCTGGCAAAGGCGCGGCATTGATTTTGTTGCTTTTATTTATTGGTTTTGGGTTTTTTGGTTGTTTTTTTTTTTTTTTCCTTCTCCTTTTAAAGAAAAAGAATTTGAAAGATAGGAATCGTTTCTCTCTCTCTCCCTCTCTCTCCTATTTTTGTTTTTTTTTTTTTTATTTGTCACGTATTTCAAGAGCGGAGCGGTAGCTCTTTGGCAGAGACATGCCTTTCAAAGGCAAGGGGAGGGTTTGCTACATTCACCTCCCGCAATTCGGCAAGGATCGAAGGTAAAATTCCCCTCCTCTCGGAAATCACAGCCGCCAGGCTCCTCGTCTGAAAGCACCGATATCTCCGCTCTTTTTTTTTTTTTTTTCTCCTTTCCTTTTCTTCCCTCGCCTTTTTTATTTTATTATTTTTTTTTTCTTTTCTTATATATTTTTTTCCAGGGGCAGAAGGAGCTCTGAAGCGGACCTCTCGGTTAATTCTTTAGCAAAGGCTGCCGAAAGCCAGGAGAGCCTCAAGATGGGAGGGGATAAATGTATCCGTGACGTGTCCTCCCGCGCAGCGCCCTCCGAGGGACCCAAATCCAGAGGAGCCAGCGCGGAGCCGCAATTTGCACTTGCGGGGGGACGGGAGGCCGGCCCGGGGGGAGCCGGGGGCGGGGGCCGCTGCTTGGGGCAACCCCGACCCGCTCCCGGCCGAGCCCCTTGCCCCTCGCTGCCCTTCTCGGTGACCCCGAGGGGACCTTGTCCCCCCACCCGGGGCGCAGCTGCCCTCGGGAGGGGCCACGGGGTGGGGGAGACACGCGTGGGGCCCCTTCCCACCGCCGGGGAGTCACCCCGGATTGTTCCCCCGTTGTTCTGGAGATGGGAAAAGTCTACCTGGACAGGCACACAGGTAGACACAGCACACATTTATACCGTGTTTATAACGCACTTTTTACATATTATATACAAATATATTCACACATAGCCCCTGGTACACGCGGAGGAGGGGGCTGAGCTCCGGGGGAGCCGCCCCGCCGGGCCAAGGCTGACCGGGGCTTAACCCCGGAGCTGCCGGAGCAGGATGGAGCAAATCCCGGAGCACGATGGAGCAAATCCCGGGGCACGATGGAGCAAATCCCGGAGCGCCCCGGCTGTGCCGGGACCCCTCCCTGGCAGAGCTCGTGGGGCTGTGCCCGCAGAGCTCGGGGCCACCTCTGCAGAGCTTGTCACAAAAGCCATGCCTCCGTCCCTCGTCTTGTCCCGAGGCAGGGAATTAAGCCCAGCCCGGGCAGCACTGAGCCAGGTTTAACCCGACGGGAGCCCAGTGCTGGTTTTGGGGACACAAAGGCGCGGTGTGTCCCTGTCCCACTCGCATGGGGACACAGCCCCGGTCCCACTGAGCCACGACCCGCCCCGGCCACGCGTGGGGATTAAAGGGGCGAGCAAAGGAGAGAAAGGAGAAAAAGGAGGAAGCAGAGGCTGCACACCCGAGGGGGATGGGACACACAAAGCCCCGGCCCTTAATATGAATCCCCTCGGGAGGCCTGGCCGGCGGGCGAGTGTGTTTGCTCAAGCTCGCCCGGCCCTCTGTAATTATCCCATTAGAGCACGGAGAGCCCGGGCCGGCCATGCCCAGGGAAAGGCCGCGCTCTTTAACCTCCCCACGGCCGGGACCTGCCAGGGCCACCGCAGCCCTCGGGGTGGCGAGTGAGGAACGCTGCGACACCTCCAGCCGGAGATGTGGGGCGAGCAGCGGGCGAGTGAAGCCCCTGAAGGGTTCCAGGACGTGGCCGCACGGCCTCTGGTCCCAAATCCATCCCCTCCTGCCTCAGGTACCCGGGAGCGCTCCCTGTCCCTTGGCGCCTGGGGACAGCGGCTTCTGCAGGGAAGGCAAAAGGGATTTAAGGCAGGGAATGGGTGGGATTTAGGCTGGAGCCGGCTCGCAGGTCAAGGGAAGCTGAGCGAAAGCCTAAATGTGCGATGTGCCCTTTTCCTCCCTCTCGTTTTGCTCTTTTTAGCCCCCAAAATCGGGGTGAAACAGCAGCTCCGTGCCCCTCTCTATGGGGACACTTCTCCTGGGCACATTGGCGACGCCAGATTTAACCCACGGCTGTGTTTTTATTTTTATTTTTACTGAAGCGTGTTCCGGCTGGGACTTTTTTGCCGACGAAAACAAACGTAAATTAATTTAAGGGAAAAAAATCCAGGCAAACAAAAACAAACAAAACCCCCCCCCCCCAAAACTTAAAAACCAAAAACAGCCGTCGAAAAGAAACTTCAGCTTTTCGGGGAAATTCTCAAAATTCAATGCAACCTCCGCCCGCCGCCGAAACTGGACGTATGAGCAGAGGTAAAAAAAAAAAAATAATATATGTATATCGGGGGAAAATATTTTATTTATATATGGATATATTTATTTGTGAGGAAAATTAGCTGTATATCAAAGCAGGTCCTACTGGGTCCGATTCAAAAAGCTCCGCGATCATTAACCCCGAGAAGGAGGAATTTATAGGGGACATTTCTGTGTCCTGTAAACAAAATATAGAGACAAACGACGGGGTGGCAAAGGAAAGCGTGAGGGGAGCGTTTTGTGTTTCCAGCAAATTGCGGTGGTTTGGAGAAAGGGCAGGTTTGCCATTGTTTTCAACAGAATCCCGACAGGAAAAGAAAAATCACGGTGCTTGCAAGGGTGGCCCAATTCTGTCGAGGTGGATTCGCGATGTGCAGCTCGCTGAGTCTGAGAGCCTTTCCATGACAAACTCCTCGTCGGGACGAAAATAAATTAGGAGAATAAGTAAAATAAATTATTATTTAAATATTCACATCGTGTTTTCACGGATACCTTGTTGTGGAATCCTACACCGGGCACGCACTAACCCCACTATTATTTAACAACATTTTCCCTTTGCTTGGAGGGGAAAACCCTTCCCGGGCTGGGAGATAAAGGGAGAGAGTTTCCTCCCCAGGTGAGCTGTGTTGCAGAGGAACATTTTCCAATGTCTTCCTTTTTTTTTTTTTTTTTTTTTTTCTTCCTAGGGTTTTCAACTGGAGACTGAAAAAAGAGGAAAACGAGAGGTGAGAATAACCCCCATCCATGCCCAAATAAACTCTTTTCCAGCTCCCTTGCGCGGGTGGGTGCCCCGTGTCTGGGTGGCCATGGGGACAAACCCGAGGCTCCAATGGAGGGGGGGTCCAACACCTTTTTTTTTTGGGACAATTCTGCATCTTTCAGGCGTGGGATTGACACACTCGGGACCCCCGGCACCGTTCCCTTCCCGTCCTCTGCCCGGGATCCAAAGGAATTCCCAGGGCCGAGGTTTAAAGGAACAGGCAGCAGGACGGGGGTTGCCATCCCCCCGTGTCCTTGAAAGTGCCACTCTTGCCTCAAAAAAAGAAAAAACATCTCAGCGCCGCGATTTTGGTGTTGATGGAGTTTTCCTGCTTTTTTTTTATTTTCCCCCCCTCTGTGGAGGTTGGGGAGGAAATCGGGGCTGCGGAGCCGAGCACAGAGCGGGGCTTAACTTTAGTCTGATGTGCTTAGCTGAAGTATTAACTGTGAGAAATACCACCAAGTTCCACAGGAAAGAAAATAGCGTCAGATATTTGAACATTTCCAGTCGGCACCATCAGCACCGCTCCCAGCTCGAGGACCAGCAGTGCTGAACGTCCCCGGAGGAATCCCCCGGATTTTTTTTTTTTTTTTCCCCTGTAACTACTGCTCCCAAGCGTGGCTGTACACACACAGCCGCTCACACACGCAAATCCTATAAATGCTAATAAAACAGATTCCTCAGGATTTGTTTAACTTGCCCCGGCACCGCCATCCTATATTGATATTCAATTGGGTTGCTGGTGTGCATGAGGATTATTGGTGAAGTGGAAGATTTTGGGATCAACCTTCTAGGGTGCCACTCGGACGTGGCCCTTCAGACAAGGTGGGAGCCATAAACACTGGCAATGTGATGAATTCGAACG